CAGAAATCTGTCAATTTTATGAGTTCATTCAGACAGCGATGTAGACAGCTCCAGTAATATTTTCCATATGTGTAAGAAAAGACAATACATCTAAGTTCAAGGAGCTACTCATGAACAAAAGTGAAACTTGAACTAATGGTAAGTTTAATGAACGGCCCCAAAAAAACTGCCATCAACTAACTACTAATAATTGTAACAAAATGTCAAAATCAAGGTTTACTGCTGGACGTAGGTCAAAATATGTTGCTAGGTCTGATCTAGTAAGAATGATAGAAAAATGAGCAGGGGTCATTCAGACACACCAAGAACCTAACACGCAATGCATATCTGGAGGGGGTTTTATTCTCATGGCTGCAAGAGGCTGCTTTTCAGGAACAAGTGAACACAGGTCATCTTAGGGCGTCATCTTGAGTCAAACCAACAATCCACAAGCACTTCAACTTCATGTAGCGACTCACCTGGTCTGTAAAGGTGAGAGAACAGACAAAAATCAATGAGAGCAATACCTTGTGAATACCACTGAGAAAAGACTGTCGACAACCGAGCACCTTCATCCACCTTTGAATAAACTTGTTTCTCTTCTCTCTCTACAGTGTAACAGTTCTGAACAGCTATGAATACTTTTGCCTACAGCAACGACACATTGTAGAAACTACGAGCACATCCCAGCCTGGTGTTGTTTTTCTAGTGGGGTCAGCCTGTCTGTTTGACCCTAAGCTCTGCAAGTGAACAACTACTGGTGAGATTATCATAAAACTGGTTATGACTTTTAATGGCAAATAGAGGGTAATTCCAAAGGATTTGATGACCCCTTGACCTTTCCTGTAAACCCAGAGAAAGACCTAAAATCATTCATGCTCACTGAAGACTTGGCCCTGGACTTTAATCACTAGGTCTTTTGGCGCTGATCTGACCATCTCAGGTTGGATGCCTCCCTCAGCTGGGTTTGCCTTTGACATCTCACTGGACATCGCCGCTGCTAGTTTGTGGTGTGGGGTCTTCTCCTGACTAGATGGGAGTCTAGTTTATACACCTGGGCACTGGGTACCACCCCTCCAACCCTAACCCCCGCCCTAGCCCGATCATCATTATGACAAACTCCCTTTGTTGCTGCTAAGGCTACCTTTACGTAAGCCACCTTTTATAAGACTTCTTCAATATGCAGTGTAAAGCAGCCTTACAGAATCACAAGCTTTCAGTCTTGTAAAAAAATAAACCACAGAAAATCCTTTGTGACACTGCAGGTGGATACACCCTCCTTTTTAAAACAGGGTGCACATTTGTGTGTTTTCTTGAGGGATGAAAAATGTGCAGTGTTTCCTGGCTCATGACTAAGGAAAGATTTGACAAACAGGAGGTGGTTTGAGGTCTGTGAACCAGCACTCTGCTGATTCACAGTCCTGCCCTCTCCTTTTTTTTCTGAAGTAGAAATCAGAGAGGGCAGAGATGGCAAAAAAAAAAAGTCCTGCCACCTTCTGGGGTTGTCCCCACAGCGATCTGGAATCAATACTTCCAGACAGTCAGAATATTCTCACTCTGGACCACAAGACAGTGCTGCAGTTAATTATTAGAGTGACTCAGTGAACAGTAATTTGATTGAAGCTGAAATAAATTGGATTTCTGCTGTAATTCAGGAACATTCCGATGTACAGTAGAGTATCATCAGATTATCAGCATCACCCTATTACACAGGAGAATAAAGGCAACATGTTGTTCACTAACAACTAGCTGACAGCAGTCAGCTGTGATCATGGCAGAGAGGACTGAGTCACATCTTTACACACAGTGGCACAATATGGAGATCATTTCTGTTTGTCACAGTGATAACAGCTTCTCTCCAGTGGAGGGCTCTCTTTGAAATTCCTCTCCCTGCCTTGTATTTGTGGCACGCCGACTCTTATGAATCTGCCTTTGTTTCATGCTCACAAGAAATATGATGTAGGGAAACAACACGGACATCGTGCTCTTCTGCCTGCCGGCTGGCCCTGGAGGACGGCATCGCTCAGATAAAGCGGGATTGTTTTGTTCCCATGATGTGATGGCCAACAAAGCCCCTTGATGAAACTGGCTGCCCCTGTGCAAGCCCACAATCACATTAGATATAGATGATGTCACTCACTCGCGCCAGCCCCGGCTACCCCAGGGGCGGCAAGGCTATGAGAGAGGGGTGATGAAGGTGGTGGGGGAGGTGGTCTTTGTTTCACATTTCATCTGCGCTAACCTCCCCCCCCTCTTTCTCCCAGAGGCAGCCAAGGCCCTTCTGGTTTGCCCTTTGTTACACGTAGGTGGAAGCCTTCGGTAGCTGCCGAAGGAAGACTCGACCGCAGCCAGACAGCCGAGTGTCAGTCGCGCGTTGCTAAAGTGCATGTCGTAGAGCTAAAGGTTGCTGCTCTGAGATGACACAGACCAGTGGGGGCTGAGTCTGCTCGGGCCCCCCCCCCCGCCACGATTTAGCATCCCAGAGAAGACAGCGTTCAGACTGGAGGCAAGGATGCGTCAGCAGACTTCAGTCACTGACCGTAAAGCAAAGGGTGACAGGGGACCTTAAAAAATTTGATAGGCACCATCACTGAAGCGACATGCCTCCATGATGTGCGTGTCTCCACAGTCAGAGAGAGATGTACGACCTGCTCCACAGGGCAGAGGCATGCAATTTAAAGGAAAATTTCACCTTAAATAGATAAACAGAAAAGAGGAGCCATTGCTCCATCACATTTCACAACTGTAGTTATTAGTTGCATCTAAAATACTGTATATCGACATATAAAACAATACATTGTAGCTACAGCATTAAATTTGCTTGATGCAAGAGAACGCCTCAGTAATAATAATTCAAAATATACCTGTGAATAGACTCTTGGTTATGTACTTAAATATCAGTCGCTCCTATATGTTATATATCATTATATACTGAATATCTTTGAATTTTCAGTGTCAAAAAATTAACTGGGTTCTGCATAACAAATCAGTGTTCACATATATTCAGTGATCTTCTCTGACATTTTTGTCCACTAAATGATTAATTGATGAAGATTAAATGATAATGAAAATAATAATCATTTGCATTTCTACAGAACGTGAGTACACATCCTGTTTGTTGTCGAAAATATGTTGGAGCTATTTTAAGTGTCCATTGTGACAGAATAAAGCCAAATATATTCATTTTCTGGTATGTTGCCATTCAAATGAAATGATAAAATATATGTCAAGTGTTGTCAAATTGAGCAGAGATGGACAAAGAGAAGGAGGCTTAGTTAAAACCTCTACGGGAGTAACTCTCTCTCTGGCACATTAAAGAGACAGTCATTGAAAGATGTTACTTTCCACACTCCATCTCACACCTGAAACACACAGCAGCTCATGCATTATTCATACACGCAGCCACTGAATGAAAGGGATTCTGCTTTGAGCACAGAGGAGCTGTTCCCTGCAGTCATTCTTTGAGTTAAGGAGGGGGGGAAAAAAATAAAAAAATTCGCTCATTTTACATAAGACGACAATCTGACGGTGAATTCCTTTTCAATGAGCATGGCGACAATGTCGTTTGACAGGCGTTACTTTATTAATGCACGCTGGCCCCAGCGAGGAGCCACAGCTCAACAGCATATGTGGGATGTGCCCCAGTTTTCACAGCAGCACATGTATGTAGGAATATGTGTGTGTGACATCAATACGTCAGCGGGACGCTTTCATTGTGTGTTCGGTGCTGGAGCTCTGAAGTGGATCAGTTTAAAGTTACAGTGTGAGAGCCGAGGTGAGCGAGAGTGAGGAGTGTTGCTGAACCTGATGAGCGCCAAGGCAGAGGTGACGTTAATCGCGCCGCAAAGTGCTACGTGCTGCTGACACTGGCGGCGGCAGCTGACAGGTGCTAATTGGCAATCACAGCCCTATAGGTTCAATAATGCACTTTGTCACACCTTTTCACTGAGATGTTCTTGCGCAGCTAACTGCGGATCAAATTAAAACACTACTTTACCGCCATACGCTCTTGTGACAGAAAAGCTAACGCAGTGTGTATAGAAAAGAAAAGAAAATATTCTCAAAAAATATCAGTTGAAGCTGTGATGTGATCAATTATTAAAAAAGGGAGCAGATGGAGATGAGGTAAGATTGTTGGGCATTTGGTCGGTCCAATAGGAGACCCGCAGGCTCCACCTGTTCAAAGAGATGAATCCAAATCAAATTGCTATTTCTAATTTTGTATTCCTATACTCAAAATTTGATTATAAAATCCAAATGTTTGTGCTGCTCAAAAACCCTGATCTGCACTGAATGAAATGCTACTGGCATAACAGGAGCTGGTCTGTGCCACCTAAGATAAAAATTCAATTCCCTTAAAGATTGAATAACAAAAACTGACACAAATTGCCAGATTTGACATCTTATTTCAACCAACCAGAGCTGTATTAGGGATGTAATCCTGATAAATATTCCATGTAGCATTGAGGATACAATGACAGTCAAGGCCAGTTAATGAGTTTCATGTTTACTGTTCTGTTTTCTTGTCCCACTCTCACCACATATACACACAACTACATGCAGGATAATCAGACCCTCCTTTGCATCATTTGTCACCCCCATCCTAACCTATACAATAATGTTGTTGGCTGTAGTCTTGGTTCTGTCGTGATAAATCTGTCTAATAACCCACTCTGTTATATTCTGTCTTGGTTGCAGTGCAGTTAAAAATGTTGCTCTGGACAAAGTTTCAGACAAATATAGTGTGCAGGTACAGCCACACTTGGAATATACAACCAAAATAACTCATCAGTCATAGTATTTTATATGTCATTTTTCTTTTATGCTTTTTTGTGTGATAAAAACACAGTTAGCATTTCCTAAAGCAGGGTTTTTTTTATGAGGCAGGAATGAATAGAAGTCCGGTGCGTGCTGTTTTTGTATTGTGTCAGAGTTTTAGTGGCCCATTGTTTGAAAGTCAGCAGCCTTTGCACCCCTGCGAGGGAAACCTGTCAGGGAAACAGCGTGCTTGATGGACCTACCTCTTCAGGAAGGCTAACGACCAAGCCATTCTCCGCCTGGCCCACCAGTGCCTGGAGGAAATACTCGCTGCAGGCAGCCAGCACGGCCCGGTGCCCTCGGAACTCCTTGCCCTCCACCAGGACAGTCACATCGCACAGGATATCCTGCTTCCGCTGGTCGTTGAGGCAGAGGAGGATATTGGTACAATGAACCGTCGACTCATACACATACATGGGGGCTTCAGGCTTCTCATCCACGGACATTCCGCTCACGCCCTGGAAATAGAAGCACAACAGAGGGGGGTCAGCTTACAGCCGAGCCCAGCAAGCACATACCGCAGGGCTGACATCAGCCCCGGCAGTCTGCTGCAGCCAGCCTCATGATTCAACATATACAAGCCTGGCTGGCTGCTGCTTCACGTGCTCACTCGCTCTTTAACATTTAAAAGCCAGTGAAATCTTGCAGTGCACGCGCCTGCACAAAATATCCATATCAGTCACATGGGTATTCCCCATGATTCCTCTTCTCACAACAAATCACGGAAACAAAACTACACCTTTTAATCTAAAAGACGATTACATTTCATTTGATGGTAGATGAGAGAGTCCAGAGTGAAGTGTGGTGTATTTTTTTCTCTAGAGTTCCACATGTGTTTGTAATCTAGGAAGGACTCACTGTATAGGCATGCTGAGCAACCAGAGAACATCATCTAACGGAGGGTGAGATTATAAGTGCAGGAGCTGCTGCTTCTTCACGGGGTAAGAATCGGGATGATGGCACAGAGGCTGATTCATAGGCATCACAATAGAAACAAAGAAAGAAATACTGCAAAACTATGGGCACAAAACACGTTTAGACCAAACAATAAAGGCTCAATCGCCCACTAGAGGACCTTTTGACCCCTCCATTCTGTATTCCAGGATTCCATCTGTTCCTATTAAACACAAATGTATTTAAGATCATGTACTGTAATTTTTTTTGGATAGTAAGACACACAGTGAAACCCAAAGAGTTAAAGGTACCTAAAACAGAGATTAGAACAATAAAAGAGTCAAATTCCTTTTATGTGTACATATTCTTACTCAAACTGATTCTGATTAATACAGGGCCGTCCAGTGAGATGGGATCCACTGTAACATGCTTACGGTTTCAGTTTTAATTGTGCATTTGCTCAAACTACCACTAACAAAAGAAAACCTTGGGGCAAAGAGGCTCAGATCCTCAGAACAGTCACCTACTGAACCCAGCTGATTAAGAATTTCTGTTTCTGAGTTGTAGAAACACTTGTGAGGGCAGCTTTAGGACAATGCTGTCTCTGAGCAACAGCCCACTGCAAATCCAATATATTCTCAGTTGTACAAAAGTGAATAATATCAAATAAATAATGTGCTCTGGCTTTGCTGCCTGGCTAGACTTACTGTAAGTCACTCCGCACTCACATCCCAAGAAGTTCAGCTCAGGGAACATAACAGCACGTGCCCCTGTGGAACAGTTTTTCCTGCCAAACGTTCCACTCTGCTCAGGCTGCCCCGCGATGACAGACGCACAACTATCTCTCCTCACAGACACACACATACACAACTTGCTCAAAGGGCCTTTATATTAGATGACGATCTGTGCCAAGATGTCTCTCCGCTATATGTGGGCTTTTGTTTACAAGTTAGAAATTAATTTCCCTACTCTCTATCATGTGCTGACACAACACTGCGCCGATTAAAGTTTTCCAGCAGACATCTGTTACATTTGCTCTCCTGCCCTCTCAGAGTCTGCTGTGTTCGTCTGAGGACTCAAACCAGACGTGGTCTTGAATGTAGGAGTAAAGCCACCCTCGATAATAAGTAGAACTGTGAACTTGCTTGAATGTGTGCTATCAAAATGACTGCCTGGCATGAGGTGACTTTGTCCTTTTGTCCTAGTTTCACACAGTGCTCCAAATTAGATTTCCCCACAAAAGTTCCCGTTAGTGTTTTTTTTTTTTTTTTTTTTTTTAAGTTGAAGCGAGCTATCAGACAATTGTAAAGGTCTAGAAAATGTGATTACAGAGAGAGATGTCCTCATTCTGTGTGGAACTGTTCTAATTAAATCTCACCTTCTTATGATCGGAGAGAAAATAATGTCAAATGCTGGATGTTTACATGTTGTAAAATTTAAGTTGACTGACATCTCGTGGGTCACGGGGCTTCTTATTTATGGAACTGCTTTTTGAATGGAACTTTTGCTTCTATTTTAAAACATGTTTTGTGTGTAATAATGACCAAACAACCATGTAAACAAAGGAAACTCACTGACTCATACTGTTTTGCATGAAAAAGGCTCAGCAAGAGGAGAAGTGTTATAGAAAATGAGGAAGTACACTTAACATCTCTTAAGTGAGCACAGAATCAGAAGCACAACACAGCAATGAATTGCCTTCACATGGACCTCTTGGTACAGCAGAATTATTTTTCAGAGGCTGCGTGATGGTGTCTCAAGCCAAAAGTGTGAGAACTGGCAATCCTCATAAATGGAAAACTGCAGCTGATCTGCTCAGACTCTGAACAGTAGAAGGGTTTCCATCAACAAACTGTAACTCAATTAAAAAAAAAAAAACACTGGCCAAAAAAAAAAAAAAAAAAAGCCAATTAATGCCTGTTTTCATCCACAACCGTCATCCTCCAGCAGTAGGAGGTGATTTGTTGAGATAAACAGCTGTTGGCACTTTGTCAATAAACCCTTGTAGAAGACGAGGCTGTAATGAGATTACATCATTAAAAGATCTCCTGTCAAACCGCAAATAGGGGGAAATAAAAAGATATGTAGAAAATATGATGGAAATATGGAATTCATTCAGTTGGATGGCTTCCTCATTGCCCTGCATGGATTTGATGTTTGTGTTTATTTTATCTCTCTAGTGGCGCTTCAGTGGATGTTGAAGTTACACATTTTATGCACATGATCATTTATTCATCAGGTCTGTTTCCATTACAAGTTGTTGCCTTTCATTTTTATCCATACACCAGCTTTTCTAGCTCATAAGCCAAGCATAAAAAACCTTTGGCCTGTCCATTCTGAGTTTTTGAGTACAAATTGAAAGCAAGTGCTGAATGACACTTAGAAACAAACAGAAAATATCCAATAAGACTCTGGATATTGTGTCATGGCTAAAAATCACACTCTAGTCACTAGTACAGCCTTTGATAAAAAAAAAACAAAAAACTGTATCAAATATTTGCACCATGTGCTTTTGTCCGGAGCGCTAGTTTCATCAGGATATAGTGGAGCGACTGCACAGAAGGCGCGAATGAAACTAGTAAATGCCACCTGTTCAAAGATGGCTCCCCTGAGAAAGACGCAACACTCAGAAACACAGTCGAAAGTCCTTGTATAAGACGGTTCCCAGGGGAACCTGTCTGACTCCGATGAAATGGGCAAATGTGCAAAGAATAGGTATAGACATTTCAGAAAGACTATATATAGATGTACAGAGTGATCACCAGAGGAGTAGCATCTCACTCTGAATGAATGGAGGAAGAATCCAGGAAGCAGCACAGTGATTTAAACTATAGCTTGCATGTAACAAGAACACAAACAGGTGGCACAATTTCCTGCTTCGTTTAATAGTGCAAGTTATTAGGACTGAGCTTCTAGGGTTTACTTATTATACAATTGGTGATCTCTGACAGATTGGCTTGGCAGGAATTTTAGGATGTTATGTGGCAAACATTTACTATTGGGTCCCGATTGATCTCACTATGGATGGCAGCATTATTGCTTGCAGTATTCTAAAAATTCTGAATGATTGGCTGATTAATCAATTAGCTAGTAGAAAGGAAAGTAATTGGCTATTTTAAGTGTTTTTGGGATTTAAAATGCAAGAAAATTCTCAAGTTCCAGCCTCTGAGATTTGAACAATTGCAATTTTCCTTATGTGTATGATAGTAAAGTGAATATCTGTAGATCTTAGACTGTTGGTTTGACAAAAACAGGTGTCCCCTTGGATGTTTTGACTGTTTTATACCGTAAATGCTTCACCAGTTATAAAGGAATTACACCGTATGTGGTTCACGTTCATAAACAAAAGTCAACATAAAGTGAATATGGAGGCTTTCGGGTGTTCCAGCATTGCTTTGAGTCAGCTGAGACTAGCTCCACATAGCTGCTTTCAGTCTTGTTAAGGCTTAAATTCTTGCAGCGAGAGTCTGGAAAACATCTGGAAAACATCCACTGACAGCGAGCTGAGCCGAGAGCCAGACTAATCAGCCAAGTGTGGTGTGAAGTGTTTTAGCTGATGATGTAGCTTGTCACCTTTTGAAATGTCAGTGGCATGTCTCAGCCAGGTATTGCAGATGAAATATGCAAATGACTCAGCAACTCCATGACCCGTTTTTGACCCCAGGTTTATGAAGAAACAGATTTTTTTGCTCTGAAACATGTCTGAAAATCAAAGGCAGAGACTAATCAATGCCTGGGGATCTGTGATTTTGTCCAATCAGGTGCAAAAGGGGATCCTATTGACGTCTTTGCAGAGGAGAGCACTTGTCTGTCATCTAGTGTAACGCCTACTAGAAATGACGTCTGATGCAAGCACATGTGTGCTGAGCAGAGACCACAATGAGGGAAGTGAAAACTGTGAGCCGGTTTTGCGAGAAATCGTCGTATCTACGTCTTTTGTACATTTAATTGTTTACCTGTGACAGAGCTGTAGTAATGATTTGACAGGAGCGGTGCACTGTTACAGCACAGAGTGAGGTGAGGGGTCTGTTGTGGAACAAATACATCAGCCCAGACTGTGGTTCTGGCTGGTCCAACTGTTGTATAGTTTGCTTATTTCCACCAAACATTTCTCAGTTGGTTTCCCAGGATAATGACCTGTCTTCCAAGAATAATGTTTCCAGATGTGGTTACGAGGTTCAGAGCAATCTAAACATGCTATTTCTACCCTGGAATGCACATTCGCTTCACTTGAACTTCAGATGGTTTGTTGCAGTAGGAGGAAAATGCAAGGATGACACAAACACAAGACGCACACACACAAGCACGGTGCAAGCATAGTTAGACACATGCACGCATACACACACATACACACAGGCGCACACACACACAGGCGCACACACACCACAAAATAGCAGGTTGTGGCAGAATTCTGATTAGAAGTGCTGATGGATGCAAAAGATTTCTTTTTTTTTTTTTTTCTTTTTTCACTAGCAGGGCCAGTTGTTGACGGCAGCTCTTTCTGCCACACGAATTCTGATGCTGCCAACCTTTTCTTGGTGAGTTACGAACATTCCTGTGCAGA